CAGTGGGCTACAAAGTCTGGGATGAATTTGGCCCACAAGAATGCCATAGGAAAAAGAGAAAACCATGGCCTGTGTGTGACTTTGGGCTCTAACATGGGGCTACTTCCAGCCTGCTATTGCATCCCTCTAAGAATGTGTTAGGCAAGCAGCTTATCGAGGTAGAAAACAGTTCCCATTAGAAATGGAAACTCAGAATTTCAGAGGTCACAGTGGCCATGGAAGTGGCTCTGAGGAAAATGTTCATGAAGCCCTGGAGCCTAGGCCCTGTCAGGCAGCTAAGTGGACACTGGCTGAGCACAAGCCAAAGCACCACATGCCACAGACTGCAGCTTTGTAAGCGAAACATTTCACTGGCTGAGATGACATCTCCTTGAAACCTACAATCCACGGCTGCTGGAGCTCAGGAGAGTCAGTAATTGCTGCAGTTGTTCCCCACCTGGGAGGGGCTGGAACTGCATGGCTAGAGTCTGGCCAGGTGGGTAGAACATAGTACCGAAAGCCCCTGTTGTCTCCTGGAAGCTGGGCACAGGCCCTTAGATCAGGTGTTGGTGGGATTCACATTTTCTGATGAGGCACAGGAGAGTTTAGCAGTGGTTCTGGGTCACACAGTAGAGCTGGAGTGGAGAACAGTCAACCTGGTTTCAGTTTGTGCTCTGTAGATTTCTCTGTCATATGACTGTTCAACTCCTGCCTTAGTTACTTTTCTGGTGGCTGAGACAAAAATACCTGCCACTCAAAGTTAAAGCAGGAAAGGTTTACTTTGCTCACAGTTTGTAGAGGTTTCAGTCCATAATTGTCTGTCTCCAAGGCAAGACAGCATAGCAGAAGGAAAGCAGTTCATGGCAGGCAGAAGGCAGCAAGCATCCAGCTACAGGTGACAGATTTTTTTCTGTCCATTTAGATTGTATCAAGGGTACTTGCCCTTAGGGCAAGTAGTGCTCACACCCAGGGTGGCATACCCTTAATCCTACCCAGAACTGTACCAAACCAATCAGCAGACTAATTTAGTAATCACACACCCTTAATCACATCGTCACTCACTCTAGATCCAGCCACCTCTGAAAAAGCCCCACCTATGACCACATGAAGCTTTTGGGGGACATCTAAACAGGAGCCATAACAACCCCAATTCATCAGCAATGTGGGGACCAGGCTGCCAGCAAAGGACAAGTTGGTGCTTTCTTTCTTGGGCTACAAGATTAGGACTAGAACTCAGGGCATTACAGCTTCACTCCTACTCATGATTCAAAGACAACAATTTAGCTCCTAGATTCAGTGGAGAGCAATCCCAGCTGTGGGCTTTGGGCACAGTTGATAACTTCATTTCCTACGTGAATATCCTTGTCTTTCAGCAAAATGTCCTCTAATATGCCTTCCCCTCCTAAGTGTTTTTATTGGTCTCTTAGTGACTCTTAGAGAACTTTTTCATAATATTACACTTCTTAATGATGTTACAAAAATATCATGTCACATTGATTCTGCAAGAAGTGACATATGCTGCTTTCCAAATGCCACATTTCTTCAAATAAAAAGCTTATGACAGTGTGCAGGACACAGCGAACCTGTGTGACTCAGGAGATCTCTCCTCTTGCTTGCTTTTTCCCCTTGGAGCTGTCATAGTTCTGGCTGCCTGTAGCTCTTTCCCCTCTTGATGCATTCCTTCAGGCCCGAGGTGTGGCTCATAGCACACATATGACAAGCAGCCTTGGACGAATGTCAGCGAAGGCCTTGCAGCAAAGGCCTTGCAACTTTTCCACATCCATCGTGTCCTCTAGCTTTTGTTGCAGGAGGGAATGGGCTTCATATTCCAGCTGTGAGCTTCTGTTTGCAAGAAATACCTGCTTGTCTGAGCCTGAAAGTGCAGCATGGACATGAGGTAGGCCCCAGGTTTATCTGAAGGACCAGAAGCCCTTGTCCTCACCCAAGCCCACAGGGGACACCCTCAACTGTGAGAGGCCTCCTTTATTCCTGAACAACCATACTCTGTCCCCTTCCCTGAGGCACTTTCAAAGATGTATCTAGGAGAATAAACAGAAATCCTTCCTTAGTCGAAAAGAAATTGAGCAAGCCAGGAGAAAAGGAAGGTGAGCAATGGTACCTTCTTTGTTCAGACAAGTGCAATGCAAATGTTGAAAGAGCCACTCATACCTCACTCAGTGACAATACAATACTCACAAAGATCTGATTAGGCATTTCTGCTTTACTTAATTTTATTTTCATGCTTTACAAAGTCATTGTAGAGGAAATGAGCTGCTTTTGAAGCAGTAGTAATGAACACCAGATATTAGGACAATCCTGGTGGAAACTTGTAGAAATCTACTTTCCTGTGTGCTCCAAAGCCTGCCTGATGGTCCACCTAGAGCTGAGCTGACTGAACCAGTGAATGAATGGTTCGACTGAAAGGTCTGGGCTTAGAAAGAAGAGAGGAGAGGAGAGGAGAGGAGAGGAGAGGAGAGGAGAGGAGAGGGAAGAAGGAAGAGGGGCGAACAAGAGGAAAAGCGAGGAAGGGGAAGAGAAAGGAAGGGTTGGTTGGAAGATGATCTAAGATTCTAGAGGCTAACAGAACTGTGACTGACCTCCTCCATAATTAGAAAAAAAAATCATCTCACTTTGTAATGTACTTGATATAGTGTGTGACCCAGTGTAGGAGCTCAGCTGATGTCAGGGATCCTATGGTGCCCAGCCACACATCTGCCCCTTCATGTTCCACGTGGTTTCACTTCTATTTCTAGAGAAATAAGACAGAATCATGTTCTGGTTGCAATGCAGTTCACCGGCATCTTCTTGAGCCCCAAGGAGCCCAGGCCTCCTACTGCTATAAACTTCAGGACAGCCTGGGCCTAACTCTGTCGATCCATGCTCTCAGACAGCTTGAGAACGGAATCCAAGTGCTGCCTTGCCCATTTGGTATGATAGTTAACTGACTGTGTCAATTTAAGTAGGAACACCTCACTAAACTGACTCAGCATAGCTCAGGGTATGGAAGACCCACTCTAGGGAAGACTGTTGCCAGAATGGTATAAAAGGAAAACTAAGAACGGCTGCTGCTTCTGGTTCTTCAGAGGAGCTCCAGTCTTAGCTTTCACATTGGAAGTCATCTCCTGGCTTCCAGCACAGACTCATCAGCCTCCGGCACAGACCCTTTAGCCTCCTGATTCGCGCTTGTATGGGACACTACAGTGGGCTCCAGGCATTTGATTGGATCATTTGGATCTCTAGTGTTCAGACAGTTGCACTCTTCCATACCTGATTCTGTAAGTGGCCACTGTAAGCTAATCTTGTAAATTCTTATATATTTGTATATCTTACATTAAATCTGTTTTTCTAGTAAGCACTGACTAATATATCTGGAGATAGTCACTCCTGAAAACAGCCCTGTGTGTGCTGAGTATATTTTGTGGCAGTTGCAGTCCATATTATGTGTTTCCTTAGCACACCATTTCACATTTGTACAGAGTCCAGGGCCCTTTCCATCATGCTACATGGCAAGAGGGTTCTCCTGGCATCGGGCTGACTACAGCCTCGGATACACTGCTTTCTTACCAGGTAGCTCTGATTATGCTTTGAATCCCATTGGTGCCCTTGAAATCCAACTGACAGTGCTAGCCCTGCGGCTATAGTAGTGGATGAAATACGCATAGCCTGCCCTCAAGGGGTACCCATCCAAGCATCCTGTAACTAAATGAAAAGCAGTCCTGAATTCTACCCTGAATCCTTATTCTATTGTTTTGTCTCTTTGTTTGTTTGCTTGTTTGAGACAGGGCCTTAATTTGTAATTCAGGCTGGCCTTGAGCTCATGGCATTCCTTCTGCCTCAGCCTCTTGAAGGCTGGCATTATGGGCATGCACCACCATGACCAGCATCCTTACTCTATTGTTGTGACAGAATATCACAGAGTATTTACAAATTTACTGATGTGTTTTGACCCCTACCCTTGGAGGCAGGGCCAAAGGTGGGCATGAAGTATAAGCTGAAGCTCAAGGGCAAATGTGCTACCTTATTAGATGGTACCCTGAAAACCACATAGCCTGAGAACTCACCTCATAATAGATCAGCATACCTCAACTGTAGAAGTGCCTGGGGCAGCCCCTATGACAGTCAGGCATCCTATGTGTTCCTATGACACTAAAGTGGCATGGGAATACAGCAGAATTTTTCTGTGCCCCCAAGAATGACAGAGAGAGAGAGACAGAGAGAGAGAGAGAGAGAGAGAGAGAGAGAGAGCAACAGAGACAGAGAAAGACAGACAGAGACAGAGAAAGATACAGAGAGACAGAGACAGAAAGACACAGAAAGAGACAGAGACAGACACACAGAGATAGAGAAAGACAGAGAGACAGAGACAGAAAGACACAGAAAGAGAGACAGACACACAGAGAGAGATAGAGAAAGACAGAGAGACAGAGACGGAAAGACACAGAGAGAGACAGAGAGAGAGGGAGGGAGGGAGGGAGGGATGGAGGGAGGGAGACTGATGCTGACTCCATGGGTTGTTATAGAAGTAAGTGGCATGGGACATAGACTGGATGGACTGTGCAGCTAGGAAGCAGGTTAGGATGGGGACACCTCAGAAGCCAGCAGGAAGGGGTTCCCCCTCTGAGGTCAAGATGGAATTGTACTTTGGAGAGGGTGCAGTTATGGACAGGTTGCCAATGACAAGGGCCAACAAGGAAAAGTGAGACATTTACAACCAGACGAGGATCGGGCAGAGATCCCAGGTGAAAGGCAGAGGAGAACCAAAGGCAAACAGGGGTAAAAACTTCTATTTAAGGGCAGTGATTGAGTCCCAAAATCTTCAACACACGTACAAGGACTTCCTCAGCAGCTCTCCACCAAGGGCAGGGCTCGGGGGTGGGCAAGCCAGCAAACCACAGCTGCAGGGGTGGAGCCTAGGCGTTGTACTGGGCCGTGGCCCCGCCCATTCCGACTCGGATTGGGCGTCCGCACCCAGCACACCTCCAGGCTCCGCCCCTCGCGGGGCAGGGGAAGAGGCGCGCAGGCGCATTGGCGCTCAGGCCAGCGCCCGGGCCTGTGGGCCCGCGGCGGTGGTGTCGCGCGGTCCTCTGCCGCCGGACGCCGCACCTGTGGCTGCTGTGGCTGCTGCCTAGCCCTCCCGCCGTAGCCTGTCACTGCCACCGCCAGCCAGGGCGCGAAGAAGAAATGATGCCGCCCCCTGGCTGGCCCCTGCTTTGGCTGGGCCTGGGCCTGGGCTCCTGTGCGGTCCTGGAATCCGCGGAGCAGGTCAACTCCACCACAGGTGCCTCCCGCTGCCTCGCGCAGGTTGCAGGGCCTTTTCCTGCCGTTCACCCGCCTCCTTTCCTCCCGCCTTCCCGGCCTGCATCCCCCGTGCCCCCTTGCTCCCTCCCACTACTGTTCCGTCTCCCACACACAGCCAGCCTTGCCTCTCTTCCTCCATCTTTTACCCCGATTTTCATGCCTTCCCCTATCCTGCCTCCGTGATCTGTTCTTACTTCCATCATCCTTGCATCCTCCTTCCAATCATCCTTCCCGGCATCACCTCCCTTCTCCCGCCCATCCCTCTGTCTGTCCTTTCCCTCCAGTAAGTCCTCCCTCTGTCCCTCTCTCCTTCCATCCTCTGAGAGTCCATTCATCTCTTTTCCTCCCTTCCCTTCCTCCTTCCCTCCTCTTTCCTTCAATCCATTTATCCCTCCCCTTCTCCTTTCCTCTACTCACCCTTCCTTCACTAAGCATCTTTCTTTCTATTCACGTATCCTTTCTTCCTAAATTCGTTTTCCCTTTCCTCTATCCTTCCATCCTTCTCTCCCTCCTCCAGGCTTGAAACCCTGGCCAAACCCGAAATCTGCCACGAGACCTCAGGCTTCCTCTGTACCCTTGCCCCACTTACTGACGCACATTCCTGGTGGCCTTCCACTCCGGCTGGGCTGTCAAGGTGCAGGGCTCAGCCCTGGGTCTCTCATCCCCCGAGAAGGAGAAGGAGGAATTTCTGTGTCTGCCTATGTAACTTCACCAAAACCCTCTCTCCCCTGCAGATACTCTGAATGTCCTGCTCATCATCGTGGATGACCTGCGCCCCTCCTTGGGCTGTTACGGGGATAAACAAGTAAAGTCCCCAAACATTGATCAGCTGGCATCCCACAGCCTTCTCTTCCAGAATGCCTTTGCCCAGGTATGTCAGGGAGGCACTCCTTGTGGGAATGTGCCTCCTTATGCACTTAAGATTGGGAGTTCTGCAGCTGCTGTTGGGTGGCCCTGACCATGCCAGGCACTTCCCTAAAAAGAGGCAAACATGGTCTGGAAACCAGTGGTCAAGGACATCTGATTGTTCACTCAAAAAGAAGCTTGTACCTTGAAAGCTACCACTCCTCCTCCAGGGGAGGGTATGCTTTCTTCCTCACATGCTCAGGACTGCCCCTTGTCAGCTTCCTCTCAGAAGGGGACACTGCCTGGCACTGCCAAATGCCACCCAAGGGGCTTCCCACTGAGCCCTGGGCAAGGGCCAGCCAGCTGGCCATGGGGGACTCCTCCCTGCGCTCCCGCTCAGGCTGGGCCCAAAGACCTCGGCAGTTCTGGGTGCCCGGGGACGCCATCGCGCAGCAGGACCGCAGCATCTGCTGGTTTGAGGGGCTCACTGCTGTCTTGTCTTGCCAGGCAGCCGCAATCGCTGGCACCTGAGCAGGGCCCAAATCCCACTGGTTGGCTTTGAGATCTGCATGACTCAGCTGCCAGACTGTTTTGCTGAGGGCCTGGGGAGGCTGTCTGGTTACCATGGAGACAGCAGCCCCATTTTCACATTTTGCTGTGGTGACGCTGACCTGTGCTTCTGCTCCCTACCAGCAAGCAGTGTGCGCCCCAAGCCGCGTGTCCTTCCTGACGGGGAGGAGGCCCGACACTACCCGCCTGTATGACTTCAACTCCTACTGGAGGGTGCACGCAGGAAACTTCTCCACCATCCCCCAGTACTTCAAGGAGAATGGCTACGTGACCATGTCGGTGGGAAAAGTCTTTCACCCTGGTACTGCTCCGTGGCCCGGGTCTGGGTTCTCTTGTGCTAGCTGAGTGTGGGAGTCCCCTGCTGGGCCCGGGGCTGTCTCTGCACAGGCCTCTTCTGGCTGGCAGCGTGCCTTGCTGTCCACTGCTGCCTGTCTAGGAGAGCCACTTGTCCACTTTGCCTTCAGGTTTTCCTCGACAGTGAGAAGAGGCGAGGGGTTTGGCTTTCTTTCAGAAGCTAGAGGTGCTGCCCTGGGGACCCCTCAGCTCCTTGGGCAATGGCAAGGACCGTGGCTGGGGTGGTGGCGGTGTTGAGTGTGATTCCAGCTCTGAGGCTGACCGTTTCCCCTGCAGGGTCCCTGTCTGTAATATTGGGAAGGGGGTGAGGACCTTTAAGTACCCGTGCCCCTGCCATGTGGCCAGCAAAGGTGTGTGCCTTTGTTGTCTGGTGGCCTCAATGTCAACAAGAGGAGTGGAAGTGGGTACTCAGAGCTGGAGGGTGCCGGGGGACCGCCATATGTACATATATATTGATTGCTGAGTTTTTTATAAATGTTTTCCCATAAAAAGGCATTTTATGACACCATAGCAATCTAAAACATACTATCCTTTGGTCCCAGTTGTTTCCATTTGCACTGACAGGAACATCTCTGGAAGCAGAGAGACCTGCTAATGGGCAGTTGTGCCAGGCGTCCTGGAACCTGGGTCTAGTCTGAGCACTGCCAGTTAGCTGAGGGGCAGAATTGGGGCAAATGTTCATTCTCTTTTGTGGCCTTGGATTCCTCATCGGGGAAGCTAGAGTCAGCTCCGTTGACCCTCCCTGTGCAGCATCCCAGTGTGGGTATTCCACAAGTAAGACAGTGCTTGTTATCGGGGGTGACAACTTGAGTGTTTTCAGTAGCTTTCTATTTGCACATGATTTGTATTGGCAAGCTCTTCTTCCAGAGCCCAGCTGGCCAGGCCAGGTTAGGGTAGCTTTCAGCCTGGTTAAGTCAAGCCCAGTTTTGAAGGTAAATCAATTAGGAAACATATTATGCAGCCAAAAGCCCAACATCAGTCACACTTCCTGCAGCTTGGTACTCCCCTCGTGACACTCCTTGCCTGAAGGCAGCTGGCAGCAAGTGACCATTTGGGAGTGAGGAGGGAACATAGCAGAGGGCGGAGACTGGCTTCCGAAAGGGAAATCAAACAAGACCTGAGAGGTGATGCTTAGCCTCCTTCTACGCAATGATGAGATATTTGGGACCAGGCTCTGAGCATGGTGTCCGTACTCAAGAATGAAACGTTTTCTGCAGCCTTTGGAAAAATATATTTTTCAAGTGAGCCGGTTCTCAGGATCTTTTCCTGTTGGGACAGGGCCTGCTCAGGGATGATAGTAGCTACCTGTGAGTGTCAGGTATATGCCATTTACTCTGCAGGCCTCTCATTGAGTCCCTCAGCCGCGAGCAGGGTGGGTTTTCGTCACCATGTTCTCATTGTGTAGGTCAAGTAGCTTATCACGTGTGCAGAAGCGCTAAGGGACAGTGTCAGGATTCAGCCCCAGGTCTGTTGGCCTCCTGTGTGCTCTTCGCATCACGCTTGCTGCGTAACGCCCTTCACCCAAGGCCCCATTTCTCCAGTCCCACCGCCTCTAGTGCTGACCCCAAAGTGCCACTGCACTGAGGATGTTCTTTCTCTTGGTCCAGGCCTGGATGCTTTCTCTGCTCTCCCACCCAACCTGTATAGGCAGCACTTCCCATCCGATCCCTCGCAGGCCTTGCCAACTCCTAAAAGCCCTCTCCTTCCTAACTCTCATCTGACCCACATCACCTCTGTCTGGGGGCTCCCTGGCAGGGCACGGCTGTCCTTTTGACAACTGGCAGTCCTTTCTTGGTTATTTTGTCTTCTCAGGTAGACTGTAATCTGGTAAGCTTAGAAATGGATTTCACCACTAGGCACTTGAACTTGGGGTCTGAAGGCATGAATTTCAGTACTGGCTTGCTTGTCTGGTAGCTGGCTGGCACTGGGATAGCGCAGACCTCTGAACCTCCCTTTCCCCTCCTGCCTCATGGTGCCGAAGCCTCTGCTCCCTCTCTTGTAGAGTGGAAGAGAGGCTCCAGTGTGGTCTGTCAGGAGCTGCACTCTCACGGCAGGTTGTCTGATCTTGCCCTTGTGGGTCCCTTCTGCACAGCCTAGCACAAATGTCCAGGGCCTGGGGACCAGGAAGTCAGGTGTTCATTCCTCGTATGGAGACCAAGGAGTTGGCATTAGTGGGGACATATCATCTTGCCTAACTCCTGGCTTTATAGGTGAGGAAACTGAGGTCCAAAGAGGGGAGGTACCACTTGCCAAGTTATTTGCAAAGTTTTAATTTAGGGGCTGGGATATTAAAAGACTTTTCCTTTTTTATTTAACAACTTTTCTCTCCCTCACCCCAAGGTATATCTTCCAATCATAGTGATGATTCTCCATATAGCTGGTCTTTTCCACCTTATCATCCCTCCTCGGAGAAGTATGAAAACACTAAGGTAAGACTGGGAAAGGGCCACTGACCTGAGGAGGAAGTGCCTTCTTGTCCAGCAAATAATCTGTTGTGTTTACGTTCTTTCAAGCTGCTTATGCTGTGAGGTTTGTGAGTTTCACTTATGTGGATGTCTTGACAGAGACAGTTGTGGGCATCTTTAACATTAGGCCCCATGGGAATAATGGCTTCAGCGTAGCCCCTGTCAGGGACTCTTTCTTGGAGAACCTTAGGCTTTATCTAGTGTGTCAGACTCACATAATGGTTCCCCGGTGCTCACTGTGGATGAGCCTCTGAGCTGAGGGTTGTAGGAGGTTCAGAGACGTGGGAGGTGGAAGAGAGACAGAGCTTAAGGAATCTCAGCCCCAAATGAGAGAGGCCTAATATGTATTGTTCAACTCCTCAGAGCTCTAATAGGGATTTTAAACTTTTAGAGCATTGTGGGAAAAAAAGAACCTACAAAGGAAATAAATCTTTGGTTTTTTGTTTTTTTGGTGTTTTTTTTTTTTTTTCCAGTACCAGGAATTGAACTCATGACCTTTTGCTTGCCAGGCAGGCGCTGTGCCACTGAGCTGAATCCCCAGCAGGAAATAAATCTTTTTCTGGTGGAATCCCCAATGTGTAAATGAAACTAAAGTTTAAGAAAGTGACAAACCCAGCTGGAGAACTGAAAAATGGCATCCTCCTCTGAGACATCATTTAGAGAAGTGTGAGGATTTGGCAGGTGGTGTAGGAGGGGTTCTAAACTCTTGATGATTTTCCATTTCTGAATACAGTGAAAGAGGAAGGCTCTGCCTTCAGTCTGTGGCTTGAGTAGGGAGAGAATAAGACCGGAAGGCCTTCCTCTCAGTTCCTCAGTTCCATGAGGCCATCTTGCTGCTTTTTAGTGGTCTCACTAACAGATGCCAGCTCCTGCAGCCTCTCTCCCCACCCCGTTATTCCTTTTCAAGGTGGTGGCTATGCTGTATCCAATGGCCGTGCGGTGCTGCGTGTCATGGGAAGACAGGGAATGGGCATGCCACACACTGGGCTGTCCTGCCTGGGGTGGGAAGGCAGGGCTGTGAAGGACACTGTGCTCAGAGCACCTGACATAGCCTTGGTCTTTGTCATATGCAAGTCACGGTCAACACTGACTTAGGTCCTTAGGTCCAATATGGCTGTTTTGGGAAATGAAAATGAAAGAGAAGGTCATTCTCTGAATGGTATGGATAGGGACCAGGAGATTCATGGATTGTCACCTTATGCACTTAACAGGGACCCTGTAACTTAGTCTGACTTTGTCTGACTTTGCCTTAGTCTGACTAAAATTATTTGAGATGTAATTCACATACCATAAAAATCTCCCCTTCAAAGCATGGTTTTTAATACACTCATAGAGTTATGCAAACATTACCAAAATCAATTTTAAACCATTTTCATCGTTCTAAGAAGTTCTACCTGTTACTTAGTCCCTATTTCCTCCTTTTTTTTTTTTTTTTTTTTTTTGGTTTTTCTCCGGTACCGGGAACCGGGAACTCATGACCTTGCGCTTGCCAGGCAGGCGCTTTTGCCGCTGAGCTAAATCCCCAGCGCCCCCTATTTCCTCTTAATCTCCAGTTTGTCATATCAACTAATCTACTTTCTGTCTCTATGGATTTGCTTATTCTGGCAATTTCATATAAACAGAATCATATAATATGTGACTCTGTGTCCAGGTTCCTTCACTTAGCATAATTTTTTAGAGTCAGCCGCATAGTGGCATGTATCGACTTTCTATGGATGCATCATAATCCATCACACTATTTTTTGCTTTTCCATTTACCGCTTTATGAATATTTGGGTTGTTTCCATGTTTTGGCTGTGAGGAATAACTGGATTCTCACGTATAAGTAGTTTTGTAGCCTAATGGTTTTTGATTATCTTGGGTATGTACCTAGGGATAGAATTCTAGGCCATATAATAACTATGTTTAACTGCTTGAGGAATTTCCAGACTGTTTTTCAAAGTGCCTGCAGCATTTTAAATTTCCAGCAGCAGTATATGAATGCGCTGATTTCTCTACATCTTTGCCCATAGTTGTTACTTTCCATTTTTAAAAATCATAACCTTTTTGACAATCCTGTGGTTGTTATTCATATTTCCATGGTGAATAATGATGCTAAGTATGTTTCCATGTGGTATTGACCATTTAAATACCTTTTCAGAGAAATGTCTAAGTCTTTTGCCCACTTTTAGTTGGCTTATCTTTTTATTGTTGCATCAAAGATAGAGTTTTTTCATTAATTGGTTCAATTGGTGGTCTTTAGTTAGTTATGACTTGGAGACAGAGGATTAGCAGCAAGAAACTGAGTAGTATGTACGTTTGGCTCCTTTCTGGAAAAGAAGAAACATATTTGTGATTAAGTTCTACTTCTGATATATCTGTTCAGTCTCAATGACTAACACCTAAGGGGCTAGTAATATGAACATCAAATATGTGTGTTTAACCTTTGTGACTTCTGCTGCTTGTATCTAAAAAGCTGATGTTACGTATTTTGTTTTGAAAGACATGTAGGGGCAAAGATGGAGAACTCCATGCCAATCTGATTTGCCCTGTGGACATGGTGGATGTGCCCGAGGGCACCTTGCCAGACAAACAGAGCACCGAGCAAGCCATACGTTTGTTGGAAAAGATGAAAAGATCGGCCAGACCTTTCTTCCTGGCTGTTGGGTATCATAAACCGCACATCCCCTTCAGATATCCCAAGGTAAAGACTTGGTTGAGGGCTGATCTCACATAACCATTACAGCTGTTTTATTTGTTGAGTGAGGGATTTATGTAATGAAAATGGCCATATCCTACCTTTCCCAGTCACCAGGGCTGCCAGATCCTGATGGGCACTAGTATTCTTAGTGAAGGTGGAGTCAGAGATCAAGGCCAAGAGGTAGTCTTAGGACATGTAAGAATCTTATGGGAAAAGTTTGACTTTTCACTTTTGTCCACTGGAAGGGTGTGCCCTTTCCTGGAAGTCCTTGCACAAAGGTTGGGCTGTGTGGTGAAATCGTACTGGAGAAGTGAGTCAGAACTGTAACAAGGAGAAGCCTATAACAAGGAATAATGCTTGGGAAACAATCCGTGGAATGTGACAAGTGCCTTTCCCTTTGAGCCTGTCAGATCAGACTCTCTAAACACAGGACACTGTGTGTTCGCTTTATATCATTTAGAGCATCTAGTCTTTTTCTTTTTATAAAGTTATTTCAGTTTTTTCCAATTGTCCCTGGGCCTGAGAGGCTCAGCCTTTTGACTTGAAAAAGAACGCGTCTCACCTGTCACGGGAGTAGACACCGGAAGGTATGCTCTTTGATGTTGCAGATATCTTGCTTTGACTGGCTTAGGGGACCTTGCCTTCCTAGCAGGAGCTGTCAGCCGGCTTGATAGAAGCCTGTGAGACTCACCTCTTCTGTCCCTTTGCAGAAAAGCATTCACAAAGGCATTCACAAAGATCTGCTTACAAGGCTGCCCCTTGCCTGGCATCTCTGGGAACTTTGATTTTGACAGTGTCTCACCATTGTCAGAACTCATAAGAATGACTCGCCATGCCTAAACTGTTTAGGCAAACATTATGCTATGTACTGAACCCCTGTTTTTCCTTCTGCAAAACTGGAATTTGAATATGTTCCAGGCACAAAGTACCTATGTGACCAGCACCAAATCAAACCTAGGTGTTGAGGCTTTAAAATCCTTCCCTGTTCGGTAGCATCGTTACTCATTGCTGGAACACTGAAGTGCGCCCTATGTGGCTTTCCTGGGACAGGACTCTGGAACCTTGCTGCTGGCTTCCTCTGGAGTTCTCTCAGTGGGCCTTTTCCCTTTGCTGGATTACTTGGTATCCTTTCACTATAATAAACCATCTCCCTGAGTGTGACTGAAAGCTCAGCCCTGTGAGTTCTGCTGAATTACTAAACCTGCACGTGGTTTGGGGAGGCCCCACATCTGTGTGGGTTGGTTGTGAGCTGGGGATAGGAACAGGAGGGCATCTAACAGTTTGAGGGAAGAGAGCTGTCACTGCTTGGTTGTGGGAAGCAAGAGTTGATGTCATTGCTTTTGGCACCTTGTTAGGGTGACCTGTGACCTGACTTGAGGTGGTGGGTCAGGACTGAGGGAGCATTAGGGAGCCACCATGCAAATTTCACTACAGAGTCCCAGAAAAGGCAGTATAAACGATCACAGAACCACAGCCTGTGCCTTTGCCAGACAAGTAACAACATTGTGGCTCTGTGTGTTTTTCCCCCAGGAATTTCAGAAATTGTATCCCTTGGAGAACATCACTCTGGCTCCTGATCCTGAGGTCCCTGACGGCCTCCCAGCTGTGGCCTACAACCCCTGGATGGATATAAGGCAACGGGAAGATGTCCAGGCATTAAACATTAGTGTACCCTATGGCCCGATTCCTGTGGACTTTCAGGTACTGATGGTACTGAGGGCGTGATATCATCAGCAAAGCCACTTGTTCATCCATAATGACTTACTAAGAAGTTAATTTGTGCAAGGCATTGGGTGAAGTGCTACATGGGGCATTCTTTTGGTATTAAGACACAGGCAGTGAAGAGCTGGGGATTTAGCTCAGCGGCCTGCCTGGCAAGCGTGAGGTTATGAGTTCCATTCCCAGTACCGGAAAAACAAACAAAAGAAAAAAAAAAAGACACAGGCAGTGCTGGGTGGATTGAGAATCTCCTGACCAGTGTCTCAGCTTCCACAGAAGGGAGCATCCAGGGATTTGGTGACTTACTGCAGATATGCCCAGGGTGGAGAAGCAGCCTAGGGGAGCATCCTGACCCATGGGTGATGCTGTTTAACCCAGGTGACAGCTCATCACTTATAGGGTGTAGGCAGCTCCCCGGCAGACTGGAATGCCCAGTTCGCTGGCACTTGCCAGTTCCCTTTGTGGGAATGCCTGACACTAGCACCTGTCACTCATCAGCGTGGCTAAGTGAGCTGGGCCTTGGCATAGAGGGAGCTGGGATGCCATGATGGCCAGTGCTATCAGCTGTGATATCTAGCATCCCTTTGCCATGATGTGGTCACTAGAGTTGCTCACTAGGATTCTTTCTGGAATCTTCCAGACAGAACCTTGCCCTTTTCTTACCACATGAACGCTGACAGGCAGGTTATTAGGGAGGGAAGCACGCAGGGTCAGCAAAGTGTGCTTCTCAGGCAAGCTGCGTCAGCGTCTCTGGGAAAACTTGTTAGAAATGCACAATACTAGCCCTCTTGGCCTTACCGGGTTGGAAGCTGGAGCCCAAGAACCTACATTTACCCAAATAGCGTCCCGGATGATTCTGATGTACTCAGGCCTTTGAGAACCTGCTAGAGAACAGAGGTTAAAACAAAACCAAACTGGCTCCTACAGGAGTCTTGTTGTCCAAACCTGTTTGGCTCCTGAGGTTTCACAGACAGTCTGGGGCATGAGCAGAGTGCATTCCTCAAATCTATTTGATGCCTGCGTTTCACAGGGTAAGCGGTGAGAATTTGGAGAGCAATGAATATGTCTCTTTGTTTCCTAATTTTGCATAGCTGGGTTTTGATTGTCAGGTGCTTCAAATTGTAGCTCTGAGACTGTGCCTACAAGCCTTATTAGTGACAATCACTTAAAATGACCCTGTACAGTGGACTGGGTGCCAGGAATGGTGCCGAACATTCATATGAGCCATCTCATTTGGTCTCCATGGGAACCCAAGGAGGCTGCTGTCTTTCTGCTGTTGGGTGAAGAAAAGAAAGACAGAGAAGCATGCTGCTGGCCTCACTATACGAAGTTAGTGCCAGGGGAGCTGGTTCAGCCCCAGTGGCATGTGACTCCTAAGCCCCATTTTGATTTTGTCATTTCTGAACAGTCTGGCTTTGAATTCGCTTTCTACCTACATTAGTTCTTTCAAGTCACTGAACCTGTCCAAGCCTCAGTTTCTTTACCTGTAAAATGGAAATAGGATGGGTAAAGGGTTTCTCTGGCTTTGGGGGTTTTAGTGGAGACAAAAGGGAACACTTGGCAGCATCTGGGACAGTGCCAGCTGCATGGCGAGCTCTCCTTCAAGTTCTCCGAGTCCCGTGCTCTTGCCCTATCTGTTGGACACACAGCTGAGGGCCCCTGGTGTGCTCCTGTGCAGCGCCCTGCTCCACATTCCCTTTGGAGCCGGGCCGCGCCCTGTCCTCTGGCGGTTTTGAGTGTCTGTGTCTAAGCCCTGTCTCACTCCTTTCTTGGGCCAGTCAGCCAATGTTCTCTTCAGCCCAGCCCTCTTACGCAGCCAGTGAGCTGGTAACTTTGGGGGCCACATTCAGGAGTTCGGCCGCTCCAAGGCCCGCTCCTTGGCCACCACCCTGACCACGATCCCCTCTCCTTGCATGTCCTTGTTACCCCTACAGCTCCTAGGGATTGCTAGAGTGTAGACTAGACTCCTGCTCCCTTCCTCTGTCTAGGTGGCCTCTTGGGTTTGCTCCTTCCCTGTGGCAGGCCGCTTCCTCTTCTTACCAGCCTCTCAGCACACTTGCCCATTTACACCTGCCCCGCCTGCAGCATCACAGTCACGGACAGTCTAGCTGGGAGGGCGGCTGGAGAGAATCCACACAACTGTGAGGCAGAGAGGCCCTCAGCTGCCCGTGTGAGCTCTCTGCTTGGCTCCACTCACTTGTCCATGTCTACCGAGGTCTCCCTTCATTCCCTCCTGCTTTTTCTGGAGCCTGAATACTTTCTCAAGTTTCTCATGTCTTCAGAAGTGCCACATTCTTCTCCCTACCTGCTTTCCCTCCCTTCCTTCCTCCCTCAACTGCCCTCCACACGAGAGTATAGTAGTCAACTTGCTGTTGCTGGGACACAGTACTGGGCACCCACAGTTTAAAGGAGGAGAGGTTCGTTTCCACTCACAGTTTCAGAGGTTTCGGTCTATAGTCGGCTGGTTCCATGGTGGGAGGGCATGATGGAAGAAAGCTGCTTACCTCAGGGTGGCTGGGAGCAGAGAGTTGGGGAGGGCCCCAAGAGGGAGGAAGGGGTCAGAGACCAGATCTAAAGTCCAAGGTCATGCCACCGTGACCCATCCAGACCCGCCCAGAAACATGCCTTTTTAATATCCTAGGTGTCTGTGGAGCCAATTCAGTCAAGTCAAATTTGACCATAACTGAGAGTCAAGAGTGGTCTATTCTGGCTGTGTCTGTGACCTGCTTGTCCACTTTTCTTCATTCTTCTGCTCCGGCCTCCATCTCCCCAGCCCACTGAGACTTCTCCTACCTGTGTGGGCACCAAGCTTGTTAGCAAAATGAAACCCTTCCTTGCGGGCCTGGAGCTTCCTGGGGCTCTCTGCTGCTTTCTCATTGTTCACCAGCTCTGTCCATACCCTGATCACCTGCTGCCTGGGCTGCTTTGCCCGTGCACCCACAGCCCCTGTTCTAGTCTCCATGGCAGGCTCCTTCTTCTGTGTCCCGCAACTTAGATGCCGCCCCTTAGAATCAGCCCCAGGCCCCTTGCTGTTTGCTTTCTGCCCCTTCTGCACTGATGGGCCCACCAGAACCCCGCTGATGGATAACTCCCAGAACCGGCCCTCCAGCCCTGGCCTCCAGCCCTCCTGATGTTCAGACACACTGTGTGTGTCTACTGCCTTTGAAAGTCATTCCCAGGTGGATGAGCATGGCACCCTTGGTGCTCTAGGGTCCATGTGGCCAAGCCAACACCCTGCCCTGCCTTTTCTCCTATATCTTCCTCCTCTTAGGTCCCTCTCGCCACCACATGCTGGTGAATCATGGCACCCACTGAACGTGTGACCTACAGTCACCCTTGAATTTCCCACTCATTCCTCTGCCCTACTCCCTCCCCTCCCCTTACCTGCTTCATGTCCCCAGATTCCTGGCAATTCCACCCTGGCCTCTGGATCCTTAGCATACCTTCCGGTCCACTGCAGTGGGTGTTGCCTCTAGTTAATCAGCAAATGTGCTAGCACTTCCTAGGGTCCCAGCAGGGATATGGTGGCATTTTGTTTAAAGCCCCTGGAATCCGTGCTCTGCGCGTTGCCATAGAGCACTTACTAATTTTCATCTCAGATTGTACCCCTTTCTTGCTTTGAGAGACCTCAGTGACCTCCTTAGCCTGCAGTCTGGGACCACTACTCCCTAGAGGAACCCACCAGTCCCTGTCACCTGGCTTTGGCCTACCTTTTCAGTGTCTCTCACTCCCCTCTGTCCTCCCCTGTTATTCTTCAGCCCCAAACACTTCTTGCTGTGTCCTGACTCCACACCGTTCCACACACACTACAGCCCCTGCTTAGCGCATTGTGTTCCCATTTATCTAGTGGCAAGTATCTCTTCTGCAATGTGAGCTCCTCTGTGAAACCTTTCCTGGTTTCCCCAGGAGCACTTGAGAGCTCATTCTCCCGTGTCAACTCTGGGCCCTGTTAGTAATACATACATATTTTCTTGTCTTTTCGATTATTTCCTCACTGGAAAGGTGGCTTTTTTCTTTCTTTTTTTTTTTTTGTACTGGGAATCAAACTCTCAGCCTTGCTCTTGCTAGGCAGGTGCTGTGCCGCTGAGCTATATCCCCGGCCTGAAGGTGGCTTAGTAGGGTTGAGGACAGTGCCTGCTTATTTATTACCTTATCTTCAGGGATCAGCATAGGGGAAGAGAGGGTATGCTTATACAGCACACAGCCAACCTGATAGGTACCTTTGGTCCCCAGGAGGACTGAAATTCTCCTAGTTACAGACTACAGACTTCATCTACCAGCAAGTGTTAAGTAGGCTGTGTTCGGCATGATGCTTTCAGAAGGTTAGATGTATATCTTTTCTTTTCACTGCAAGCGAGAACAGGGCGATCTTGTGATTGTCCTTACCCTGGCAGTGATGACAGGAAGCTGGTAGGTCCAGCTGATAAGGCTGGCACCACACAGGCAGCAGAAACAGAGGCTAAGCTGATAAATCAGCAGCTCCGTTACTTTGCACCCCTTGGTGGACGTGGAGGATTCATCTTTGTTCTTAACATTTGTGAACAGGGCTGGGAGTGAGTCCGTCCAGGAGCTACTGATGGCTCCTTTACCTTGGTGTCTGACTTGCTGTCTCCAGAGTCCCTCTTGGGTTCAGGGACAATGGTTGCTCTGTTGCCTATTGCTTTTCCCCTACCGAGGCTTTCTTAGAAGTGAGCGACACATGGCAGCCATGGTCCATGAAGATAAGCAGTTACCATCTCTTGCTGAGTTAGAAAGTATTCAGAAGAAAGGACCACCCAGGGCCACTGTTACTAGTCAAATTGTGCCCCCCCAAAGATATATTGGTCCCAACCCCTCATAGCAGGAATGTGACCTGATTTGGAAATAGGGGCATTGCATTCTTAAGGTGAGGTCGTAAGGGTAGGGTAAACTGCTGATGCAATATGAGTGATGTCCTTATAAGAAAAAGTGAGAGACATGAAGAGCTGCATGTAAAGATGGAGGCAGAGTAGCACAGCTGCAAGCCAAGGAACACCCACATGATGCAACCACCACCAAAAGGGAGCAAGAGGCCAGATCCTGCCCTGGCGCTTTCAGACAGAGGTGGCCCACCCAGTGCAATGATTTCAGCTTCCACCCTGTGCAGCAAGAACACGGTTCATTTCTGGTGTCTTCAGCTACCCAGTTGACGGTACTTCATTATAGCAGCCTTAGGAAATGAATGAAGCGGAATCATACTTTTGGTGCGCCCCTCATTAGAGCCTTGGGGCCTATGCTTGGGAAGGCTGAAGGATCAGTTTCTGTGTACCTGCTCATCTTCCGGCATGTACCAGAATTTGTGAAGGAGACAGAAAGGAACAGTGAGTGGCAGTCATCCACTGGGATCTGCTCCTAAGCTGATTTGCTTAGAAATGAATATATTTTGGACTTGCAAATTACCCTGTGACTTTGCAAGAGAGGGGATGAAGGGATGAGGATGGGAGGAAAAGGAGTGCTAAGAGGAAGTCATTAAGGCATCAGTGGATGCTTTGGGATTGGGAGGGATGCTCAGGTAGGCATTATTGCATGCAATTACAATTATACTCTCATCTTTGATTTTGTGTTCATTTGCAGCGGAACATCCGCCAGAGCTACTTTGCCTCTGTGTCCTATTTGGATACACAGGTTGGCCACCTTTTGAGCACATTAGACGATCTTCAGCTGACCAACAACACGCTCGTTGTGTTTACTTCTGATCACGGTAAGCGTTTTGAATGCCCTGGTGAGTCACTCAGAGCATCTTCTGTGAAAGGTGTTTTTTAAAAACTGCCATATACACAGGTGTGCTGTCTTTGTGAATCATCAGTGTCCAGGATCTTGGAGTGCTTTTATGATCAAATCGGTAGTCCTGGGACCTCTATTTTGGATACTTGGTGGTGGAGAAAGGTGTGCAGAGGATCATGTATCAAACTGTGTTTTGCTTTTTTGTAGTGCAGGGGGTGGATCCCAGAGCCTTCACATTGAGCTACATCCCCAGCCCTTTTCACTTCTTCTTTTGAGACAGGATGTAGCTAAGTCACTAAGTTACCCAGGCTGAGCTCAAATTTCTAATCCTCCTGTCTCAGCCTCCCAGGGTGCTGGGATTGCAGGGAGAACTATGTTTTTGTTGGTGAATTCGGCAGGAACCCTCTAATGGAGGAAATCTTTTATGTGCCCCCTACTACTTGTAACCTAGAGGGTTGAAAGACTTTTAGTTTTTCTTGGGAGGACCTAGAACAATCCTGGCAGAGGCTAGCAACACCCTCAGACCTGGCTGCACCCCTCCCACTCCTGTCCCTGTTGTCTTCTCTGCCAAGAGACCAGGCTTCTCAACTCTTCTAAGTCTGTTGGCTACTTTTTGCAAACATAGACCTATAGTTTTAAAAACAGTCCCTTTTATTTGCAAAATTTTCAGCATGCCTAAGAGTGGAAAATAACAAGTTCTCCAGCTCTGCACTAGCTGCAGTCTTGCTCACCTTATCCCTCCCTGCTCCCTGTACTTGACTGTCCTGAGAAAAATCTGAGAGGGTTCTGCTTTCTGGTCACTGTCTCAGAAGATACTGTCTCTTCAAGTGTATCCACAATACCATTTGCATGCCTAGAAAAAGGAAAATGATTCTTTTACACCATCAAATATGAAACAAGAGGATAATAAATCATAACATGTACTCGTGGACAGGAAAAAGGATCCAGAACATATAAAGCAGGGCCCTGTTACGGCATCTGTCCAGGGGTGACTCATGCTGCCACACTGAGGCTTTGTCCGCCAGCCATTGGTTGTGGCACTTGTACCCAAGGACACATGATGGACAGTGCATGTGTATAACAAGTAGCATATCATAAGACAGGGTTTCTTGTGGCATGTGTACTCCTGTCCCTGTTTTTTTCCCACTTAACAATGTCATAGACAGTTCTCTGTATCATTTCTCAGAGGTCTAACTTTTCCTTTGCAAAGTTCTCCGGTAAAAACTAGTTCCTTCAAAGTGCACTACATCTGGAGGCGCCAGTCTACAGCAGCACCACCTTAAATGTGCCCAGTCTCCTGTGATAAGGAGGAGGTGCCTTACGTTTTCACAGATTCTTGATGATTTGCATCCACTTCCGGCCTTTCTTCTTAGCGACCAGCTTCCTCCTTTTGCTGAGGCAGCTACAGCCGAGTACAGTGGCCCGTGTCAGAGTGCTCTCCTGGGATGTCCTCCGTCAGAACCAACAGAGAGCTGGTAATACATGGTGTGCAAAGGCATCTGCTCAGGGGGCCATAGGTGTCACACAGGGTTGTGACTTTAACAAGTGTCTCACGTGGCTCTGAGCACCCCTCCCCCACTCTAATTCCTGGGCCATCCCATGCCACCTCGACCCTATCCCAGGCCTCTGGGCCAGGAGACAGAAACCTGCTTAGCTACCATTGAGGTCCTTGGCCACTTGCTCCCCCAGGTTTAGAGATGGACCTGGAGTCCTTCCAGGCCTGTGCTCTCCCCTCCTACGGATTTGCTCCTGACTGCAGCAGGCCAGAGTGAAGCCCCGCACAAGCCTGAAAAGCACGTTCTTCTGGTCAGGATGCCCACAGCTGTGCACTGCGTGTTGGCCGTGTGCCAAGCCCGGCTGGTAGGCTCAGAGTGCTCGTATTTGGGGATGTCGCCGAGTGCTTGGCTGATGCAACTTCGGAGCCCCTGGGTACATCCCAGGCAGACTTCTGGGGTTTGACTCCTGAGGCCCCACTGCCAGGGTCACTTACTTCCTTGTCCTGCAGACTTGTCCACCTGCCACCTCTGAGGTCCCTGCCAGATGGGATACCATGACCTCCAAGCTGGCGGCCTAGAAGCTGACCCCTAACCCCCATGTCAGTAGCCCTCATGGGTCAGCTCTGCCTTGTCCTCCCGGAGAGAAGGGAGACTTGGAGGTCCAGGGTTGCCTCACCCTGTGCGTGGAGCTGAGGGAATGTAGAAACTGCCTCTCACTGAGGTCCCCGATCTCCCCTACACTACTGCCAGCCTCCCCAGTACTGTGTACCAGAGCGAGGGAGAGAGAGAAAGAGGGAAGGAGGCTGTCTGGAAGCCTGGAGCAGCTCTGATGGGCGCCATGTCTGCTGTGGTTACCGATTGGTGACAGGCTCCTTTTCACTCGGTCAGCTGAGGAGAGCACTGTGGACCAGAAGAGGTTCCCAGCCTGTTCTGGACAGGACCCCTGGAGGGCTGGGGTCCTACGGTGGCCTGGTGTCATGTGCACACTGGGCCAGCAGGGCCTCCTGCTGGACTCGGCACCATCCTGTGAAATGTGAGCAGAGGCACCTGTGATGAAGACAGCGCAGACGTATGTCAGCGCCTCTTCGGTGCCATCCATGACCACTTTTGGTTTCTTTGGTTATTTTTCGACCACTAAATACTCCATGTACAATCCCTGACATGCATTGATTTTGTAACAAAAAGGATCCTCAATCTTTAAAAGATTGAGAATTCCCAACTTTAAGTATTCAGTCTTTTATAAGGGATGTTTTAAATCAGGGATAAGGTTTGTTTTTGGTCAGAGTTAAAGATTTGGGTCAAAAATCTTAGTTTGTTTTAAGAAATGAGCAAGATGACCTTGTATTATGCCACAGTCCCACTGTTCATATTTTGGTGGTACAACAAAAGTTGAGCCTCAGGTGAAAATCTGAACTTGGGAGATGTGAGTCCAGATATAGGCTCAGGACAGGGCATTGGTGACACCCCAGTTTTGGGGGTGCCCAGGCAATCAGTGCATCTTTGGTGGTATAGCTGAATAGTGGAGCAAATGCTTAGCATATGCGAGGCCCTTAGTTCTGTCTCTACACAAAAAATATTTAAAATAAAATAACTAAAATGAGTAAGTATGTCTTGACAGGAGAGACATGTCTGTTTGAGGCGAACTGGTCTCACAAAGCCCTCTAGAAAGAAGATATTTAAATTTGGGAATTTTATGTTTTTTTTCTTCTCAAAGGATTCCTTCTTGAGGATAGATGTCTGATACTTAATAAATCATGATAAATTTAGAGGAATTTTCTCAAAGTGGTCAATTTTTACTTCTAGTTTCTATAACAGGAAAAGAAATATTTCTGAAATGAGCTGTGATATGATTATGATCTTCCATTCTGTGTTTTTCATGACCCAGGGTGGGCCCTAGGTGAACATGGAGAATGGGCCAAATACAGCAATTTTGATGTCACTACTCGTGTGCCCCTGATGTTCTATGTTCCTGGAAGGACAGCTTCGTTCCCGGAAGCGGGGGAAATGCTTTTCCCTTACCTGGACCCATTTGATTCTGTTTCACACCTGATGGAAGCAGGTATAAAATACACTGCAGCTATGTGAGTGCCTTTAGTTTACATGTAAATCACCTCACCGAATCATGGGCGGTGATTACACAGACCCACCCTTGCTGTTTTGGAATTCCTTCTTGATATTGGTTAGTCCATGTTTCCTCAGCACCTTCCGTGCTCTGGCTTGGGAAGGTCAGCACAGCCAGAGCTGACAAGTATGGCTGCGTCCATGAGGAGCCTGGAGGGGAGACGAACAAAAGAGCCAGTGGCATTCCCAAGATGGGGAATGCTGCTGTAGAGGTGACAACAGCAAGCTCCAGAGCTTGGAGATAGGCACTAAAGTCTGCCACGTGCGACAGGGGCTGTCCATTCAGCAGATGAGCTGACTTCTTAAACTGCGCACTTCGGCACAGTCTCAGCTTTTTTGAGGGGAATGTTTTCCATTTTAGCAGCTCACTGACCTAGTGAACCGCTGGATTGGTAGAATCTGCCAGGTGACTCTGCTCTGTGATCCCCAACACTAAGGCGAGTTTACTTGGACTTCCATGCTCCAGGCCTTCGGAGCTTTAAAAGTGCACACTCAGTCCGCTTGTGTGCAGTGACCTGTGTGAGTTCTTGTGAGTTGCATCCTGACCAGTCTTCCGCGTGCATTTCAGAGACAAATCATGTACCTCAGATAGCCCTTGCTCATTTTCTGGTGCTTTCTCCATAAACTAAACCAGGGTCTCCCACCTCCGAGGTTTAGGCATTTGATCCATCTTTAACATCGAAGTCTTGCACTTTATATCAGTTCCAGTTTAAATTCATCTTGGTTTCAGAACATCACTTTGGCCTTTCTGGATCTTTGAATTTGTTTTACACTGCCCAGTTTTACTTTCTGCACACTTAATTTTGGGGCAGTGCGTGTTCTGTTTTCTTTCACATCACTGATAGAGAGGTTGAACACTTTCAACATATGATTTTAACACTTTTTTTGTTGAGAGAAGTCTTCTGACAGCTTTGGTTAGGATTTTGGTCAGTAAGTTATAAATTTATGTAACTACACTCTTTATTCAGCTTCTTTCCAAATTTTATCTTTAGCATGAATCAGCTGTCTGAACTTCAACTTGTATCTGCAGCAGCCTGTCCCACCTGGCACTGTAGCATGCCTGGAACTGAGCTTGTGCTCTTTCAACCTCAGCCTTTACTTCAGCACACCTCTTCTTAGGAAATGGTAATTGTTGCTGAGGCCACAAAAATGAGGATCTTCTCAACTCGTCTTTCTTTCGTACTCCATATGTGATACGTAGTACCCTAGTAGCCCGTCACTCTGCATTCAGAATCTGTCCCTACGCTCCTCACCATCGCCCCTGCCGCCAGCATCTCTTCTGAAGCACTGAAGCATCTTGCTGCGTCTCTCTGCTTGTTCTCCTGATCCTTGTGTTTCCTCCTCAGAGCAGCTGAAATGATCCCTTTCAAGCCCAAAGCCGGTGTGAGAGATGTGGCTTAGAGGTAGAGCTCTTGCCTAATGCGCAGTGAGGCACTGGATTCCAGCTCCAGGGCTACAACCGCACACAAAACCAAAGAAGAAAAAACGCAAGGCTTGTTACAGCCCTGCTCAGAAGCCTCTGGTGCTCCCGTCCCTCATGTAGGTGTCCTCACAGTGGCTGACAGGGCTTTGTGTGACTTGATTCCCCCTTTGTCTCTCTGACATTTTTTCCCTACTGTCCAGGTCAGTTGTCCTGTGCCCCACTCTCTGAGTAGCTAGATCCAGGGTAAACGTTTCTGAGCAGTGTGCTGCATGTGATGTGTCTTCTCATTACATCACACCAGCGCTATTTCAAGGCAGCGTGTATTAGTGATGGTAAGTTCGATCACTTGTTTCAAGGTGGTAGCATCTGCCACTGTATCTTTTTAAATCCTTCTTTACTTTTTTATTTAGGTACAAATCAAGTGTCTAAAAAATGAAATGAGGCATTATAAAGCAAATGGTTAACTATCCAGAAAGGCCAAAATGATAGCAGAAAGCCTAGATCAGTTGTAACACGAATCAATGTTGAGTGCAGGATTTAGACTTTAAAGATGAATGGCTCACTTCATAGCAATTAGGACGGACATTAATAACAATAGCAATGATAACTAAAAAACAGAAGATAACAAGTATTGGTACGGATATGGAAAAATTGGAATGCTTATACATTAGCAGCAGGAATGTAAAATGATACAGCTGCCGTGGATAACAGCTTGGTGGTTCCTCAAAAAGTTAAAAGGAGCTGGGCATGGCATATCTGTCATGCCAGCTAGGAAGCAGACTGAGGCAGGAGAATTTCAAGTTTGAGGCTAGCCTGGGCAATTTGTTGAGACCTTATCTCAAAATTCAAAGGATGTAGCTCAGTGGTAGAACACTTACCTAGCTTGCACGAGGCAGTGGTTTCAAGCTCAGTACCACAAAAAGGAGTTAAACATAGAATTAACATGTGAGCACTTCCCTACCAAAGAACCAAAACCAGATACTCAAACAAAAATTGAACGTGAATATTCATAGCAGCACTATTCACAGTAGCTAAAAGGTGGAAGCAACCTAAGTGTGCACTGACAGGTAGATAGATACACACAATGTGGTTTACACATACGGGGGAATATTGTTCAGCATTAAGAAAGGAAGGAGGGGGGCTGGGGATTTAGCTCAGCGGCAAAGTGCCTGCCTGGCAAGCGCAAGGTCGTGAGTTCGGTTCCCGGTGCTGGAGAAAAACCCAAAAAAAAAAAAAAAAAAAAAAAGAAAGGAAGGAGATGCCAACCCATGCTACAGCATGCGTAAATCTTTAGAATATTATGCCACATGAAGTCGGCCAGACACAAAGAGAAATTTACTGTATGATCCCACTCAGGGTATCTGGAGTGGTCAAGTTTATAAAGCTAGAAAGTGGAATGAGGTTGCCAGTTGTTGGGGGTGAAGAAATGGGGAGGTTTTTTTGTTTTTTGTTGTGTTTTGTTTTTTAATGGGAACAGAACTTCACGTGTATAACACGAAGAGCTCTGGAGATGAGGGATGGTAATGTTGCCATAACAATATGAATGTACTTAATGCCACTTAACAATCCACTAAAAATGGCTACAATAGTAAATTTCCTGCTTCATGTGTTTTACCGTACGAAAAAGAAAAGGTGGATCAAATGCAGAGATCCAGAAAGGAATACAGTGGTACCCCAGTTCACAAACTTAATTCTTCCCTCAATTCTGCTGGTAGAGCAACCAGGATCGTGGGGAGAATTAAGCTTGTGAACCGAGGTACCACTGCAATATGTGGAATGACACTATGAAACGCAGAATCTTCTGTTCCTCAACAGAGGTTTACCCCCTAATGTTAGTGTTAATCAACGAAGCTTGCCTGAATCAAGTACTGTATTCCACTAGTGGTTCCAGAATTCAAGTAACTGTTAAAAGTGCCAACAGGCTGCAGGTGCCTTAATTTTACGTCCTGCTACTGGACTGGATGAGTAGTCAGTAGAGAGTGTGGTGCTGAGGTAGTGGTGTTCCAGATGAGGGATGTTTTCAACAAAAGAAATGTTTTCAACAAAACAAGAAAATAGATGGAGCCCAGCCCTCACTCATCCTGCCTGGAGTGGCAGAAGTCTGCACTGTAACCGATTCAGCCTTGTCACTTCCTGTTTCAGGCAGGCAAACCTTGGACCTTGTGGAACTCGTGTCGCTCTTCCCCACGCTCGCCAGCCTCGCGGGACTACGCGTCCCACCCCCATGCCCTGTTCCTTCATTTCACGTGGAGCTGTGCAGAGAAGGCGAGAACCTTCTGAAGCATTTTCGATCCCATGACTTGGAAGAAGATCCAGAGCTCCGTGGTAATCCCCGTGAGTCAGTGGCCTACAGCCAGTACCCCCGGCCTGCAGATTCCCCTCAGTGGAATTCTGACAAGCCAAGTTTAAAAGATATAAAGATCATGGGCTACTCCATCCGCACCGTAGACTATAGGTATACCGTGTGGGTGGGCTTCGATCCTGGTGAATTTCTGGCCAACTTTTCTGACATCCATGCAGGGGAACTGTATTTTGTGGATTCCGACCCACTGCAAGACCACAATATATATAATTATTCCCAGCATGGGGAAATCCCTCCATCATTGATGCCTTGAGTTTTGCCAGCCAGAACGAAAACATAATGTGCTCCCTTTGAGCTGGCGAGAGGAAGCATGAGAGGTGGTTATTTTGTCATTACCCATAATACTGAAAACAACTGGGGCAGTAATTAAAGCATGCATCAACAATTTGCCCCAAGAATTTGGGACAACCAAACTTCATGTAGTCCTTGCTAATTTATTATTGGCCACTGGATTGGTGCTGGGCTGAAAATTTCATTTCCTTTCTTTTTTCACTGCTTTTTTTCTTTCTCTTTTACATAGTCATAGATTACTCATTTAATAAGTATAAACTGCAATTATGTCATCCCTTTGCATATTGAGAGCATACTAACCAAACAGACCACTATACTCAAGAAATACTTCATTTGGACTTAGTGCATCTCAAAAAGTAACCGTATATCTAATTAGGGTCTACCCTAAGGTTCCAGTTATTTTGTTTATAATTTAATAATATATATTAGGTAGTACAGTGTATTAAAAATGTATCAACATGTAATTCACATTTCTTTCTCAGATAGAAAGTTAAGTAATTAGAGAAACCAACAATTACAGAAACCAATACCTTAAATTTTTCTTTCTAAGACCACAGCATTTCAGAATGCAAACATAAAATATCCATGAAATTATTAATGTTATTTCTACTTCAAATAATAAATAATTCCTAGCAAACAAAGGGATGAGGTGTGGGAAATTTGGTTGAAAATTTTCAGGTAGTTTCTCGCCCAGATAATATGTTAGCAAATAATATGGCCCTTGAATTCATTGGCCTTCTATCACAGTGAGAAACATTTCAGTGTAACTTATCAATGGTTTGTGAGACACTCAAAACCATATTAATGTTATTTGGGGACAGTTGACTGCAGACATCCATTTATCCAGGAGGTAGAAAATATTCTAATTTTAATCACTTATTAAAGCAAAAATTAATTTTATTACATTCTAAATTGAGTATTGTGAAAATGTCCTATTAGTATACTATTAGGTAATGTTCAAATCTCCTGAATATAGTCCTTTATTCCCTAAATCTGGAAGTAATAAGAAAGGCATAGTCTGGTGAACTATCGCATGTGTGCCATAGCAGGATGTCTATATAATTGAAAGCTCTAAAACATTTTCCATCACTGGCATAGTCCATATCATCTTAAAAGGGCTGGAATATTGCAAGTCATATTCTAGCATGAGAAGGCTGATGAATTATCAATAGTCATCAGAGGAATCAATAGCTTTCTAAATTAACATCTAAGTTAGTGTTGTATCAAAATGAGCAATTTTAGTTATTTTCTCATTACAAATGCCTCAGTGTTTCAAGGTAAATATTTGTGAAATAAAATATAGCAAATTGCAAATTAGATTAAGATACTGCAGTGTATTAAATTGTAATAAACATGACGATATATTAAAATCAGTTAAGTTTCAAAGACATATTTTCTCCCCTTGCTGGTGAAGGTATATATGATAATACAATGATCCTAAGCAATTGAAGCAATTGCTTTGGTAACAGCAGTTTTCATCTAAGTCATTAAAGGCTCTATTTTTCTTGGTCCAAGAATCCATCTCTCCTTTGAAATCTTCAGCTCTTGTACAAGGTTTCTCTCAGCTTTTCCTTTCTTGATTTTCATCCTTTGTATTGCTCTCACTGCATCTTTTTTGATTTTTATGAGAAATCTAGACATTCCTCCTGGCATGTTTTCAGTGTATTTAGCTTTATCTTCTAGTTCACAGTTATAAGTTTTAACACAGGCTGTTGTTTGACATCCAATTATTGCTCCTGGTAGGCTACAATATATATAACTTCGTATTTTCGCATTTACTTCCTCAAGCACAGTTTCAGTAAAAAATTCTGCAAATTCTGCTCTTGATGAAGGCATAAGCTGAACTATGCTCCATACTTGGTAGCCACTAAGCATGTGTGGCTACTGGAAGTTAAATAATTGAAATGAAAGAAAATGTTAAAAGATTCCTGGCCCCGACCACATTTCAAGTGTTGAGTACTCCAGATGTGGCACATCTCTGCCATGCGAGAGAGTTTGATAGGACAGAGCTGCCCAGGACTGCCTGTGCGTTTGAGCTGGGTCTGCTGACTGCTGGCAAGTGCTTCCTGCAAGCTTTTGCTCTACCCTGTGTTTGCCACACATACCTGTCTGGAGGTGAACAAGGTATTTCGGTTTGGGTACAGAGCAGGGAGTTTGCTACGGCTGAGGGCCTCTTCTCCACTCCCATCGCCATCGCTGCATTCCTTTCCCCCTATTTCCCAAGTAGTTTACCTCCCCTCCCTTTTCCTCCCCAGTTCCTAAAGGAATCCATGTGTCTTCCTGAAACGCCTCTTGCCCCTGCCCTTTGAGAACACCGCCAGTGCCTACCATGGGTCTAGACAGACCTCTGCAGAGCAGTCAGAGTCTTCCCTGGCTCCACACACCCCTGCCCTTAGCGGACTGTCCCTTGCCATTCCCTCCCTCCCTGCCACCTAGCTTGCGCCCACCTCCTCTCTTCACGCAGCCGTCCATAGCCATTCTTCACAGCTGGCTCTTGTCCCCCACCAAGAGGCTGTGACTTTCATGCCTTATCCTGCAATGAGATGAACACTGCTCAAGAATCTAGTGCTCCCTTTACTTTAAAAAAGGTATTTGTTGTGACTAAAAATTGATCTGTTAATTATAGAAAAATCAGAAAATAGGAATGTAGTAAATAGTGAAGAAAATGTGAATCCTCTGTCCCGAGATAGCCACTTAATATCCTGTCTTTGGGAGGGTGTGAATTTTTTACATTGCTGCGATCATACTATATTCTTTGTCACATAGTTTATGCTCTTACTTTTCCACTGAATCGTATGTGTGATTTTTACAGATTTTTCCAGAGATACTTTATATTGCCGATAATGTATTTTATTGTGCAGTTTTATTGTAATTTACTTAACCGTGTTTCTTCTCTTTTTTTCTCTTTGTGAGACAGGTCTCGCTGTGCCGTTCAGGCTGGCCTTGAGCTCACTTTGTAGCCCAGGCTGGCCTCAAACTCACAGTGATTCTCCTGCCTCAGGCTCCAGAGTGCTGGGATTACAGGCGTGCGCCACTACACCCGGCTCTGTCTTTCGATTGTTGGAAATTTAGATTATTTCCAAGTTTTCAGTATTATAAATAACATTGTGTTAATAAACTTTCTGAATAAAACATTTCTATATATTTCAAATCATTCCCCAAGGACAGTCTCTCAATGCCAAGTTGTTAAAAAGTCTCCATTTTCTCCTAACTCTTGCTACCTTAGGGTACCAAAGTTAAAAAAATAAAGCAACAAGCATACAAAAAAAAAACCATTGAAAAACACCCCTGCAATAATAGATGAAAGTGATATCCTCTTTTAACCTCTCTTTGCTTATTAATGGCATTTTTTTGATCATTGTTCCTCTGTATGATTTTTGGGCATTTGCAGAAGCAGTTGTGTGAATTTGCCTTTAAATTTCAAGTTCTGGGCCTCATTTTTCAAAGTAATGAAAGTGACCAATAAACTGATCTTGTGTGATACATTTTCCTGTCATTTCCTGTTAAACATGGAGACACCTCCCCATCTGGAGATTGAATAAATACTCCTTTTCATTTGAATGCTTCTGTGGTTTGGTTTTATATTTACGCCATCTTTACATCCCACCATAAGAGTAATATTTGCTCATTGTGTGAAATTTGGAAAGTGGGAAAACTGACAAAGATGGAATATAGCTACTGCTGACATTCGCGTGTTTCCTTGCACTCTTTTTCTTGCTCAGAACACATATTGTATAGATATGGGCACTTTATCTTTACATGGCTGACATCTATCACATATAATCTCTGTCTTGCTTTTTGAGCTGACATAACGACAGCATGCTTTTAATGCCAGTTGACAGTACTGGTTAAGAGCTGTATTGATTGCACCACTCTTACTACATTAATCTCTCTCTTTGAACTGAAATTCTCAAATTTTAATGTACATTTAAAAAATTGTCATAAAATACACATAACATGAAATTTATCATCTTCACCATTTTTCTTTTTTTTTTTTTGGTTTTTTGGTTTTTCTCCGGTACCGGGAACCGAACTCACGACCTTGCGCTTGCCAGGCAGGCGCTTTTGCCGCTGAGCTAGATCCCCAGCCCCCATTTTTCTTTTTTAATTTGGTATAATTGACTGATAGGACCACATATACTTAAGGTATATGATATCATGTTTTGTGATGCGCATACATTGTGAAGTGATTCCTACAATCAAGCTAATTAATATATCTATCACTTCATATACTTATAGTGATTCTAAACTTCCTTCACATAGAAACGTTTGATAGTAGAAGAAGTTAAAAATCCTCTTAAGGAGAAAAATGCCCTCAGTATCTCACTTCCAGGGACAGGTTAACAATAGCAAAATGAATATCATTCTAGCTGATCTCTGAATATCTCTGTGCATTAATACATTTTTGAAAATACATTGACAGTGCCATAAGTATTGTTTGTAACCTACTGTTTCACTTCAGTGGAGTACAGTGGTCACCTTTTCCACCTCAGTAAACTCATGTCAGCATCATGATTTCTTAGGAATTAGTAACTATTTTTCCATTCCCTTCTTCTTGTCTCACAATAGTCTCTTCTCTACTTTTATATCATCTTTCTAAGATTCCACATATTAGGGAAGACTTGTATTTTTGACTCTGGCTGGCTTATTTTGCTGAACGTGACAATCTCCATTTCCATCCCTGATTCCTGTAAATGATATAATTTCTTTCCCTTTCTCTTTTTTTCTTCTTTTCTTCTCCCCTTTTCTCCCCTCCCCTCCCCTTTCCTCCTCTCCCCTCCCTTCCCTCCCCTCCCTTCCCTTCCCTTACCTTCTCTTCCCTTCCCTTCCTTTCCCTTCCATTTTTCCCTTCCCTCCCCTCCTCTCCCTGCCCTTCCATCCCCTCTCCTCCCCTCCCTTCCTTTCCTTCCTTCATTTCTTCCTTCCCTTTGTAACTGGCTTACTGTAGTTAGCATAATATTCTCAAAGCTCATCCATGTTGTAGCTTGTGTCAGAATTTCACAGTAACATTCCATTGTATGCACATACCATATTTTGCTTATCCACCTTTCCATTGATGGACACTTGATTTATTTCCTCCCACTTTTTGCCTGTCACAAGTAATGCTGCTATCAACGTGTTTGTACAAACGTCTGTTCAAGTCCCTGTTCTTCATTCATTCGTGTATACACTTAGCCCACATTCAGCTCTCATCATTTGAGATGTTGGGGTGTGTGTTGGGAGATGAGCAGGGTGACTGGAGCAGCCTCACCTTGGCTACAGAGAGCAAGATTTCTCTGGACAATGGCAACGGCTGGTTCTCCCCTTGGCCCTACCTTTCAGCTGCCTGGCAGGTTCCCAAGCCATCCATACTTCACTCTGTGAAGAGTTGTGTGTATAAATTCTCAAATGGGTGCTCAAGTGCTTCTCCTTCTCTGAGTCCATCCTGCAGGTTACAGCTCTTCAGAAGAGTCTTGAATTCTGGCCTAGGATCTGAGATAAAACTAGAAGTTAGATTCCCTTTTTGGCCTCTCCTCATTTTTTCCCCCCGGTGTTATGTATAGGCTTTTGTGGTTGAACCTGCCAGCACTCCTCACTGCGCTCGAAGTCCCTTTGGTTCTCTGAGGCAGGGTCTCTCTTCTTCACAAGGGAGCTTGAAGCAGAGAGGTTGTCATTAGTGCCTTCAGATGGTCGGTAGTGTTTGCACTGTGCTAAGAGCCCTTGCTGCTCTCAGATCGCGCCTTTGCATGTGCTGCTGCAAGCTCCAGCTGGATCCCTGCCCAGTTATTCACAGAAGGTGGCAGATTCCACTTTCCAGTGTTGATAAAATGCGTACAGTCTGGCGTGGGGAGCCCACCCTCAAGAATTTGCTTTGGGATTGGTTTAACAGCTCTTACTTCATGTCTTGCCTGTGGTCACTCTCACCTATTATGGAATGAAAGGATGCTGTCTTTTGATTCTGGATTGTAGGTGATGGCCCCAGTACCCTCATAGGAGTGGAGACATGGCTGGGGAGAACAGGTAGTTTTGGTTGGTCCTGGACAGGGCATCAAGGAGACAACCCCCAGGGACCTGGTGCAAGGTGACGCAGCAGAGCCCAGGCAGAAGGAACCCCACGCTCATAAGGGACAAAGGCTTTTGGTCCAGTAGGATATGCATCATGTGCCAGGAAGAAAGAGTTAGGATGTGACCAAAGAGAGGAGCAAAGGCAGGGTTACTGCTTCTGATTTTCCCTTTGTAAGAGTCAGAGACCATGATTAATGGGGGTGAGAGGGTTTGGAGCAGGCCTGCTGCTGGCAGTTACAAAATGCTGGCCCTAATTTATTGTCTTTCGTTTAGTTCCAAAACAACCTTTTGCTGGTGATTTATACTCATAACTCATTATTTACTTAAC